GGTAATAATTAAGTTAAAAAAATTATAATTGGTCACTTCAATCCACGACTGTCTGTGGGATACACTGCTGTGCGCAATTGGCTGCTGTGTTTCGCCCAAATTTAATTCACTTTACAGTACACTTTACTGTGAAGCGCTCTGATATGTCTCGACTTGATAAGGTGCTTTATCAGGCACAGGATTATTATTACCTAGCCTGCTGAGTATAGACACCAGACAAAGAGAGACTCTCTAATCAGTAGAGATACAAAGCACAAACAAAGCAGTGAAACAAGGAAAGGTGTGAAGAGGAATGAAGTCACCAAAGTATGTGGAATCATGTCACAACACAAAGAAACTCTCATCTTCTAGCACACACTTTGCTTTCAAAGAATTGTCCGAGGTTTACTTTTTCAATCCTGAATCTGAGACAAACAACTGCCATGAAATTTCACACCATTCCTTGTTGATGTGAATGGGAGTGGTCAGGGGCAGCAGGTGAATGGGATGGATGGTGCGCTATCTAATTGAAGAAAACAGTGTCTTTACTGTTTTTGAATGTAATCAGCTATTCTTGTATTTATCTCCCTAGCCCCCTTCGCTGACTGTGTGCATTGTTAATTAGCCTGATCTAAGACTATAATGCTGTAAAGCAACATTAACATTGGTAAACAGAACTGCTTTGGGTTGTTAAGTATTTATTTGAGCAAGTAGCAAGATTAGTGGATTTTCTTGGAAAACTAATGAAACTTCATGCATATGATTGAACCACAGCAAGTGTCAATTCCCTAACGAATGTAGGTCCACACAAGGTCATGTGTGGAGCACTGTGCAGCATGAACATTTCCAACTCCACTTGTACTGGCTCAGTTATTAGACTGTTCGCAGCCCAAAGTAGGGATTGGTTCTGCCAACTCTGTGCAATGTTGTACCGACTGGTCATCAGGTCTGAGCAAGCTGCAACAGAAGACAGCTAAGCAATCTCCAGCTTCCGATACAGAGACCAACTGGGCAGATCCCAGTCTAACTGGTACATTCATTGCACTAATGAGTTTTGGGGTCCACCTTGACCCAAACCTCAACTCCAATAAAATCAGCTGGACAGTGAGGGAAGTTCACCAGGCATCAAACAACGTTTGATGTTAAACATTTTGCTGTGGCAGCTATGATAGCAATTTTCATACTGCCAGAAACTCTTAAGAGAGCCCACAATCAAGAGATGATGCTCCCAAACAGGTTCACTCCGTTCTAGAAACATCAATGCAGTGATACACATTTAGCAGAAAACTGAAGCTGCCAAAAATGACCTTTAGAAATACAACAGAAAGGAAGCCATTCACCACAGAAGAAAAAATTCTCTTTCTCTCTCCTAAATAAACCTTAAGTCTAAATCTCTGTTCAATCTCACATCCTACATTAAACAACCTGACCAGTTATTGGCATTGATGTATGACATTTTCCTTCGCAAATAACCACTCAATTCCATTCATAAGCAAACAACCACTCAGTTATTTCTTGTTCGACCACACAGTCTATAAAAGGTGAGGGAGTCAAAGGTGCCCTATTCCAACACAGAAAGAACTCCCTCTAATCCCCTGTTCAATTCATTTCATAAATCTGCTTGTGAAAGCTGGCATGAGTCATTGCTACAGTTGTCTCTGATCTTCTGCCCTCAGATGATAATTTGCAGCCAGAGACTTCAGACTTTGCTTCACCTTCATCAACAGACCCAAAAGAACCTATGCTTGACAGAACCTGCAGTTCACAAGCTTTATCTCTGACACTCACCCCCATTCACAATCTGCACAGCAAACTCAGTTAACATCTGATAAAATTTGTTCAGTGGTTATCAGATTAGAGTGGCCACAGTCATAAAAAAGTCTCTTTGGTGTCATAAAAAAGTCTCCTTGGTGAAGATTGAGTGAGGTGCATTCATGATGTTTCCAAGCTGCCTGTTCATCACTGAGCAAGGAGATAATTTCCATCTGTAGCCAAAGATAAGCTCAAATTTGTCACTGATCACTGCACATAGAGAGAGGCTTCCCTTATCACCTCAATACCATTCAGCTAGCTGGAAGGGTACAAGAAGAGCACTGCAAATTTACAGTAGAGGCACTCGTAATCACACTGTGAGACAGGACACGATTTGCCAAAACACACATTGAATAACTATTGCAATAATCCACAGTGTTTTACAGTTTCATTTATTGCATTTTCTCTAATTGTTTTGTGGAGTCCCGTAGTGTAGTAGTTAGTGGACTTAGCAAGTGAGAGGACCAGGGTTTGATTCCCGGGCAGGGGGCGAAACCTTAGGCAAGTTTCTTTACTCCACCATGTCTCTTTTTACCTACCAGTAAGTAGGAACACGGTTGCTTGTCAATTGGCGGATCGCTTCCCGGGGTAAAAATCCCTCAATCCACGACTGTTTGTGGGACACTGCTGTGTGCAATTGGCTGATGCATTTGGCCCACAAATACAGTCAATTACAGTCTGGCCTGCTCCACATCCCCCGACCCATCCGCCCCACCATTGGCAGGAGAGCCTTCAGCTACTCTGCCCCCAACCTCTAGAATTCCATCCCCCAGTCACTCCGCCTCGCCCCCTCCTTAGCCTCCTTCAAGTCCCGCCTCAAGATCCTCCTCTTCGACCATGCCATCGGCCACCCCCCTTCCCCTCCCCTATATTCTGTGAAATGCTTTGAGATGTCTCATTGATAACGTGATAAGGCGCTATATGGAAGGATTATTTATTATATTGTTTTCCACATATTCAATTGTGTCAAATGCAATTCTTTGCCCTCTATGTGCAGAGTAAATGAAAGAATAGATTGGAAGATTTGCATATTTATATTGTGAGATAGCTAGCAGCTGAAGCTAGCCTATTTATACTGGATTTTATTCCAATTGTCTCCCTTTCTCTCCAGAAGGCACTGTACATGTCAAACTAATTCCATAGGTCCCTCCAGCATCTCAAGCTAAGTTGTCATTTTCATTTATGAGCTGAGGCAGGGAGTCACACAGCCCAGTCCAATGCAACTCCATGTTCACACACCAGATAGTGATCAAGAAGATTCCCTGTTTAAATGCGTTCACCTTTCCAATAGTGAGATCAGTTAATAATAATCCTGTAGCTCAGTGGTTAGAGCACTCGCTTTGCAAGTGAGAGACCTGAGTTCAATTCCAGGCAGAGGGCGAAACCTTGGGCAAGTTTCCTTACTCCACACAGAGCCTAATAATAATCCCTCCAAAACAAAACAATAATAAATTGGTCATTTTCAATCTACGACTGTTTGTGGGACATTGCTGTGCGCAATTGGCTGCCGCGTTCGCCCACAAATATACAGTCAATTCACTTTACAGTGTGTTCTGTGAAGCGCTTTGGGACGTCCTCCCGACGTGAAAAGCGCTATATCAAATGCAAGGATTATTTTTATTATTATTATTATTATCCTTGCATTTTAATTCAGCTCCACAAACATTGACTCATCCAAAAGCACTTCACAGGTAAATTGCTTACGGTTGTTACTATACTATACACGTGTAGGCAAAGCTGACAGCCAATTTGCACACAACATCCACAAACTGCCATGAAGTGAATGACCAATTTATCTGGATGACCTTTGGTCAGGGCAACTTCTCTTTTTGAACCTCACCCCTCAGGCCGCTGAAACTCTTGTTCATGCCTTCATCACCTCCAGGCTCGACTATGCAAACTCCCTGCTTGTTGGCCTTCCCAACTCCTCCCTCCACAGCTGCAGATAATCCAGAACTCCTACACCAAACTCCATGACCCCATCTCCCCCACTCTCACCCGACTCCATTGGCTCCCTATCCTTCAGAGGATCCAGTTCAAAATCCTGGTCCTCACTTACAAAGTCCTCCATGGCCTCGCCCCACCCTATCTCTGTGACCTCCTAACCCCCTACCAACCCGCCCGCTCCCTCCACTCAGCCGGCTCTGGCTGCTCCACATCCCCCGACCCATCCGCCCCACCATTGGCAGGAGAGCCTTCAGCCACTCTGTCCCCAACCTCTGGAATTCCATCCCCCAGTCACTCCGCCTCGCCCCCTCCTTAGCCTCCTTCAAGTCCCGCCTCAAGATCCTCCTCTTCGACCATGCCATCGGCCACCCCCCTTCCCCTCCCCTCCCTTACACCCCTCTGACCCCAGCTCGGGTCTGAAATGCTGTACATTGTCCAGCGCCTTGGGACGTCCTCCCAACGTGAAAGGCGCTATACAAATGTAATCTTGTTGTTGTGTTGTAATGCTGTGAGATTATAAATCGGTCACTCAATCCTTTACTGTTTGTGGGACACTGCTGTGCGCAATTGGCTGCTGCGTTTCACCCACAAAATATGCAGTCAATTCACTTTACAGTATATTCTGTGAAGACGTGATAAGGCGTTGTATCAAATGCAAGGATTATTATTGTTAACAAGTACCTGAACAGATGGACAAGCCCTCAGCTTTAACATCTCACGCAAAGGACAGTGCCTTTGGCAACGCAACAGAAATTGAAGAAATGCACTGGAATCTCAAGTTCCAAATGGGGCTGACGCCCACAGCCAGGCTAATGCTTTACACCACAGATCAGAAAAATCAACCTGCGATCTTCCTCAGTAGTTCCCCCTGCAGTACAATTACCACTGAACACCAGAGCAGATCTCCCAAGTATAGCAGTTTTTTTAAAAAAACACTTTACTACCCTGTTATTTGGAGGCGATAAAAATTATGGATCCCTAGACATTATTTCTCGTGCCCTGAAAGGTTGTGCATGAAATGAGTGCGGAAAAGAATGCCTATTGGAAAATGTGCTGGCACCACACCAAATCAATAAATTAAAGGAAACGCTCACTCCAAGCCCAGAGCCAATGTAACCATGCTGCTGCTGGGAGGCTGTACAGTGTGTTCAGATATTGTATTTTGACAGAATGTTTTTTGTTCGTATTTTGATAACATTTAAATAGTTTGATATAACACATCTAAATGACACACACACAGAGAAAATAAAGGAGTATCTCACCCGGAAATCAATTCCCACTGTGGAAATAAAGCTTCCTGCTAAAAAAGCTCCATCCTTAAAGCGCACCAGCAAGCAGGTCTTTCCAACTCCGGAATCTCCAACTAACATAACCTAAAATAAAACATCTGGTTACTATAGAAGCTGTTAGAGGCATAAATCTTTCCATTTTATACCATTCTTAAGCAAGACTTTTGAAACTTCCAACTTTGTAATGAAACATTGGCGGTAAATAGCTTTCTGCAATATCTAACACACAAGCTACAATGGGAAATACAGATAACAAATTTGAAATTACAACAGTACTATAAGCAGCAATAAAGCAATACAAAATACAGAACTCCCAATGGCTCAATGTGGTAATATACAGACCAGGGAAGTCTCAATGATCCAACATGGTTTGTGATTAATTATTTTCAGTCCACATAGAACTTTTGGGCAAAATTATTTCTTCCTTATTTGGATAAGATTTAACCAGCTTGTGAAGCCACAAAACCAATTATGGTTCTCCAGGAAAAAGCAAATAAATTCAAAAGTTATGTAAGAAGGACAAAAATAAATAAACTTTTCTGTAAGTCAATCACCATAAACAAGCTGCCAATAATTGATGAATGAAAAAGCAAGTCAGTAGACAGTGAGAGAGTCTTTCTCCTCGGTAACAATGAGCGCTACACTACACAGACAGTCCCAGGTGCTGGTTTAGCTGATCTCACGACAATTGTCCCCAGTGTCCTAGTTTGTGAGTCAGGTGGGTGGGGTGGGAATCAACAAGGATTTTTCTCTCCCCCCACTATCCAGAGACCCCTGCTGGAATGCATCCGAGCGTGCGGAAGAACGGCAAGGACAGGATCGGGTGAGGACAAGGAGGAGGAAGCCACTGAGTGGGTGGTGCCTGTTTATGAGATTACGGCAGAAAATTTCCCCACTTTTTTCTCCATCCCCATTCAATACCCGGCTGTGATTGCCCCCTGACACAATACCACCCACCTACCCATCAACACCACCGTGGTTGCAATCACTGTATGGCTCATGTATGGAAACATGTCAGTTAAATGACGATGGACCAAAAGGTGATGGTGTCTGTGGAATGGAGTGGGGTACCCATTATGAGAGGGGAAGAGCAACATGACAAAAGTGGAGGGAAAAAGGGACACAATTTGCATTCAAATGCATTGCAAAAGGATGGCTCTGCTCTCTGTGTTGATACACTAGATGTCTACTTTGGGTAATGTGTGTCTATGTCGCATACGTTATTACTGTTCAAGGGTGATAGCTCTCCCCAATGTCAAAGACGAGCAGACCGAAAAGGCTTCTGTGTCTGTGTTTTTCTGTGTCTCTTGAGTTGCTTCCTAAAAGTCTGGTGCCAAAAAGAACTTGGGCGAGATGCTTAAACAGTAACCGGAGGAGGGGTTTTTTGATGGTGGGGGGGTGGGGAAGAAAACAATTTGTGGATCATAACCGTAATCAGATGCTCCTATAAAGTGTTACCAAACAAGATTGGACATTCCAGCCTATTTGTGTGGTTGAGACATCTTGAATATGTACAGCATGTGACCCATTAACCCATAATCCACCACATCGATCTCTTTCATTTACAACTGTTCAGGACCCGTACAACATCTCGCAGAGTCCACACCTCCCAGGGTTGTTTTCTGGGGGCAAGAGGGGGTGGGGGTGGGAGAGAGGTGGGAGGGTGTGAGAGGATGGGTGGAGTGAGAGAGGGAGGGTTGGGTATGAAAGAGGGGGAGTGGGTGTGAAGTGGGGGGGGGCGCGGTGGTGTGAGAGAAAGAAAGGGGTGACTGTGAGAGAGGGGTTGGTGTGGGGAGGGGGGGGCGGTGGGTGAGCAGTGGGGGGAGGGTGTTTGGGTGGAGTGTTGGTGTGTGATGGAGAAAGGGGTTTGGGTAAGGGAGGTGGGGGTAAGGGAGGTGGGGGTAAGGGAGGTGGGGGGTAAGGGAGGTGGGGGTAAGGGAGGTGGGGGGTAAGGGAGGTGGGGGGTAAGGGAGGTGGGGGGTAAGGGAGGTGGGGGGTAAGGGAGGTGGGGGTAAGGGAGGTGGGGGGTAAGGGAGGTGGGGGGTAAGGGAGGTGGGTCACGAGTTAGGTCAGAGGGGTGGGGTTTGGGTAAGAGCGGTGGGGTGGGGGAGCACAGTGATGGGGGGAGTGAGGGGGAGTGACGGGGGAGCACAGTGATGGGGGAGTGGGGGGAGTGACGGGGGGAGCACAGTGATGGGGGGAGTGAGGGGGAGTGACGGGGGGTGCACAGTGATGGGGGGGAGCACAGTGACGGGGGCACAGTGACGGGGAGGGCACAGTGACGGGGGGGGCACAGTGACGGGGCACAGTGACGGGGGGGGGGGCACAGTGACGGGGGGGGGCACAGTGACGGGGGGGGCACAGTGACGGGGGGCACAGTGACGGGGGGCACAGTGACGGGGGGCACAGTGACCACACACAACCTCACACCCCCACATACACACACTCCCTCACACACCCCCACACACACACCCTCACACACCCCACACACCCCCTCACACCCCACCACACACACACTCCCTCACACACCCCCACACACACACTCTGACACACACCCTCACACCCCTCCACACACACACTCCCTCACACACCCCCACACACACCCTCACACACCCCCTCACACCCCCCCCCACACACACACACCCTCACACACACCCTCACACACCCCACACAACCCCCTCACACACACACCCACACACACACCCACACACACCCCCTCACACACCCCCACACAGCCCCTCACACCCCCTCACACACTCCCCCACACACACACCCACACACACACCTCACACCAACACCCACACACACACCCACACACACCCCCTCACACCCCCTCACACACCCCCACACACACACTCTCACACACCCCCACACACACACCCTCACACACCCCCACACACCCCCTCACACACCCCCACACACACACTCCCTCACACACCCCCACACACACCCCCTCACACCCCCACACACACAAACTCCCTCACACACCCCCTCACACACCCTCACACACCCCCTCACACCCCCACACACACACTCCCTCACACACACCCTCACACACCCCCACACACACCCTCACCCCCCCCACACACACACCCTCACACACCCCCTCACACCGCCCCACACACACACACCCTCACACCCCCCCACACACCCCCACACCCCCCCCCACACACACACACCCTCACACACCCCCACACACCCCTCACACCCCCCCACACACACACTCCCTCACACACCCCCACACACACACCTCACACACCCCCTCACACCCCGCACACACACACTCCCTCACACCACCCCACACACACACCCTCACACACACCCTCACACACCCCCACACACCCCCACACACACACACACCCTCACACACACCCTCACACACCCCCACACACCCCCTCACACCCCCACACACACACACTCCCTCACACACCCCCACACACACACCCTCACACACCCCCACACACCCCCTCACACCCCCCACACACACACTCCCTCACACACCCCCACACACACACCCTCACACCCCCACACACCCCCCACACCCCCCACACACACACTCCCTCACACACCCCCACACACACCCTCACACACCCCCTCACACCCCCCCACACACACACACCCTCACACACCCCCTCACACACTCCCACACACCCCCTCACACCCCCTCACACACACCCCCACACACATACCCACACACACCCCCTCACACACCCCCAACAGCCCCTCACACCCCCTCACACACTCCCCCACACACACACCCACACACACCCCTCACACACACCCCCACACACACCCACACACACCCCCTCACACACCCCCACACACACACCCTCACACACCCCCACACACCCCACACACCCCTCACACACCCCACACACACACTCCTCACACACCCCCACACACACCCCCTCACACCCCCACACACACACCCTCACACACCCCCACACACCCCCACACACCCCCCCACACACACACCCTCACACACCCCCACACACCCCCTCACACCCCCACACACCCCCAACACACACCCCCTCACACACCCTCACACACCCCCACACACCCCCTCACACCCCCACACACACACACTCCCTCACACACACCCTCACACACCCCCACACACCCCCACACACCCCCTAACACCCCCCCACACACACACACCCTCACACCCCCCACACACCCCCACACACCCCCCCCCACACACCCCCACACACCCCCCCCACACACACACACCCTCACACTCACCCTCACACACCCCCTCACACCCCCCCCACACACACACACACCCTCACACCCCCCACACACACACCCTCACACACCCCACACACCCCCTCACACCCCCCCACACACACACTCCCTCACACACCCCCACACACACACCCTCACACCCCCACACACCCCCTCACACCCCCCCACACACACACTCCCTCACACACCCCCACACACACACACCCACACACCCCTCACACCCCCCACACACACACTCACCACCCCACACACCCCTCACACCCCCCACACACACACTCCCTCACACACCCTCACACACCCCCACACACCCCCTCTCACCCCCCCACACACACACACCCTCACACACCCCCACACACCCCCTCACACCCCCCCACACACACACACTCCCTCACACACCCCCACACACACCCCCTCACACACCCCCACACACCCCCTCACACACACCCTCACACACACACCCTCAGACACACCCTCAGACACCCACTCACACACCCGCTCACACCCCCCCACACACACCCCCTCACTCACACACACCTCCTCACACACACCCACACACACACCCCCTCACACACCCACACACACCCCCCTCACACACACCCACACACACCCACCCCTCACACCCACCCCCTCACACCCACCCCCTCACACCCCCCCTCACACACCCCCCTCACACACACCCCCCACACACACCCCCCACACACACACCCTCACACACACACCCTCACACACACACCCTCACACACACACCCCGACACACACCCCCTCACACACCCCTCACACACCCCCTCACACACACCCCCTCACACACACCCCCTCACACGCACCCCCTCACACACACC